AGGGGGAGAGAGAGAGAGAGAGAGAGAGAGACTTTTGGCTTCATGCAAGGAAAGCAGCAGAAGCAGCAGAAGTCTTTCTTTCTGTCCCCCAAACTCTGCCAGACATGAGTCTCTGAGACTTGTCGCTTCAGCGCAGCCTCTTGGAGCAGGAGGCCTTGCAGGGTCCCAAAGACTCATTTCTGGCAGAGTTTGGGGGAGAGAAAGAGAGACTTTTGCTGCTTTCCTTGCGTGCAGCCAAAACCAGAAGAAAAAAGAAGCGGAAAGAAGCAGCCCGATGGCCAGGCCAAGTGCATGGGGCGCGTGGGGCAAGTTCTCCCCCCTCTACCCTTTCCCCCCTCCCCTCACTACCTGGTGTTGTTTGCAATGCAAGCGACACAAGACTTGTGTTCCTGTGGGCCATGTGGGCAGCTCAGCCTTGTGTTCCCACTCAGCCTGGATTAATTGCTTTGGCGGGGGGGACATTTCTTTGCAGACCACCAAAATTTTCTCACGGACCACCAGTGGTCCCCGGCCCACTGGTTGGCGACCACTGGTTTAGTTTATTGTCCTTGCACCTCATACAATGCAATTAAATACCATCTTCAATGTACATTATGACCATGAAAATAAAATACAAACGTACCTCCTTCGCATTCTATACAAATGAATTGAAAACCCCTGATATTGCATTCATATTGATCTATACAGTAGAATTTAATTTAAAGCAATAAAAATAAAAAAACTTGAAGGGGGGGGGAAGAAAAATAGAAGTGTTTTCCCCTTTTCCTGGCACTGGCCAAAGGCATCTGCAGCTACAATCTGTTCAACTCCATCGTGTAGGAACACAGGAAATAAAAAAACGGGAACGAGGAATCAGGCCTGGAGACGTCAACCTCATACCAAGAGGATTTCCTGTCAGTACTCAGGATGGGGAAGTGGGACGCTTCCAACTCGTGGCGGCATCTTCTTCGGTCCTTTGGAGTGGGCTGTACAGCCGAGAGAACATTACAACAAGCACAACTTCAAGCCGTCCTCCAATTACAATGGTTCGGTGAGTGACCGTTGAAAGTTGGCCCTGAAAATAAATGTAGGAATGTTTTTTTTCACCCTTACGGCCGTTGTGACATCCCCATAGATGTTGTGGTTCACTGGCAGCAGGTGCGGACGGCTGAGGTCTCGGAGAGCGAGGACTCAGATGAGGGGCCTGCGTGGGATGCGAGGATGGGGCCAGGACCATCAGGGAGTGGAGTGCTGCCTTTGGGGATTGTGGAGGCTGGAAGCAGTGAGGAAGAGGCCCCCGAGGAGCCTGTGCTCAATGCATGTGTGCACAGGGCTGCTCAAAGGAAAGATCAGCTGCAGCAGCACAGGCAACTAGGGAGTAAGGCTGCAAGGTGATGGCCCCTCCCTTAAGAGATAAAAGCCAGCTGAGAAACTGCAGCTCTTTGCAGGAAGCAAAGAAGTTCTTGCACTCAAGTCTTGTGGACATTCAGAGTATCTTGGTTGGTGTTTGGAGACTCTTTTGTGTTTGAAATCTTTCTTAGTAACTTTATCTAGTGTTCTTGGCAGCCTTGCACAACCTTGGCAAGGCTCGTTCTTATCAGAGACAATTAGTTTGAAACAGCCTTTTACCTGGGAAGGAACGGAATTTGTAAAGAATCATTAAAAGGCTTTGCTGTTACCTCCCTTTCGTGTTTTTTTTCCTTGGAACAAGGAACAACAGGTCAACAGGTCAAAATCTGGACACTTGGCCACTGACTCATATTTATCCCTTTATTTATTTCTGGTAAAATGTTTTTTATTTTTATATACAACAAATCCATTCCATTTCAATCATGCGTCGATTAGGTACATATTTCAGTTATTTAACCACCATTGATAATGTTCTTCTTCTCAAATTTACCAATACCACAGTAATCACATTCCCATGAAAATAATATAAATGAAGTCCAATATATCTAGGACATTAATTTACTCTACAAATACGTCCAATCCCTTTTAATTTGTTCTATTCTCCTCCGTGCTGCAGCGAGAGCCCAGGATGGTAGAATTGGGTAGCCTCCTTCTTATGACGTCATTAAGCTGAGTCTGTACTTGTATATAAAAAGCCAGCCCCCGGGGGGGAATCCCCAGCTTTGATTCAGCTTCTTTAAGTCACAAGCTGTGCCTCTGAAAGCGTTAGCGTTTTATTCAGCGATTTTCTACAGAAGTTACCCTTGCTTCAATCAGCTCCCGGGGATCTGGGCAGCTGCAACTTCATACCATATAGCCGTGATGGCGAACCTATAGCACGCATGCTGGAAGTGGCATGAGTGAGATGTAGTAATCCTTTGTAGACCCTTTCTCTCTCTCTCTCTCTCTCTCTCTCTTTCTTTCTTTCTTTCTTTCTTTCTTTCTTTCTTTCTTTCTTTCTTTCTTTCTTTTTCTTTCTCTTGCTCTCTCTCTCTCTTGTGCGCTCTCTCTCTTTCTTTCTTTCTCCCTATTTCTCTCTCTCTCTCTCTTATTCTCTCTTTCTCTCTCTTTCTCCCTCTCTCTTTCTCCCTCTCTTATTCTCTCTCTTTCTCCCTATTTCTCTCTCTCTCTTGCTCTCTTTCTTTCTTTTTTCTCCCTATTTCTCTCTCTCTCCCTCTCTTATTCTCTCTTTCTCTCTCTTTCTCTCTTTCTCCCCCCCTCTCTTATTCTCTCTCTCTCTTTCTCCCTATTTCTCTCTCCCCCTCTTGCTCTCTCTCTTTCTTTCTTTCTTTCTTTCTTTCTTTCTTTCTTTCTTTCTTTCT